TGATGCCAATATTACAGTGAATGATCTTTGTAGCTTTATAATAATTCTATGTTCATGAGGGATATTGGCTTCAAGTTTTCTTTATTTGGCTTTAGTATCACAGTAATGCTGGTTTTAAGGATTGATTGGGAAGCATCACTCTCTCTCCAATTTTCTGGAAGAATTTGTGTAGAATTGTTAGCATTTCTTTCTTCAGTGTTTGATAGAGTTCCTCAGTGAAGTCATCTGGGCCTGGGCTGTTGTTTGTGGGAGGCTTTTTAAACTACAAATTCAATTTCTTTCTTTTTTTTTTAAGATTTTTATTTATTTATTTGACAGAGAGACACAGCGAGAGCAGGAACATGAGCAGGGGGAGTGGGAGAGGGAGAAGCAGGCTTTCCTGCTGAGCAGGGAGCCCGATGCGGGGCTCGATCCCAGGACCCTGGGATCATGACCTGAGCCGAAGGCAGACGCTTAACGACTGAGCCACCCAGGTGCCCCCAAATTCAATTTCTTTAATAAATATAGAAATAATCAGGCTATTGACTTCTTCTGGAGTGAGCTTTAGTAGCCCGTGTCTTCTGAAGAATTTGTGCATTTCATCTAAGTTGTTGAGTTTATAGGTATAAAATTTTTCATAGTTTCCTTATAATCTTTTTAATATATGCATTAAAGAGATAGGGATGTTACCTCTCTCATTCTTTTTTTTTAAGTTTATTTATTTATTTATTTATTTATTTATTTATTTATTTATTTATTTATTTAGTAATCTCTACACACCCAAGGTGGGGCTTAATGTCATGACCCTGAGATCAACCGTCGCATGCTCTTCCAACTGAGCCAGCCTAGCACCCCATCTCTCAGTCTTGATATTGGTAATTTGTGTACTCTCTCTTTTTTCTTGACTGACTGTGTGGCTAAGAGTTTATAAATTTTGCTGATTTTCTCAAAGAACCAGCTTTCAGTTTTATTGGTTTTCTCCTAGTTTTCCATTTTCTATTTTTGATTTCTGCTCTGTTATTATTTCCTTTCTTCTGGTTACTTTGGGTTTCACTCGTTCTTCTTGTTCTAATTTTTAAGGTCACTGAGTTGAAACTTCTCTTCTGTCCTAATATAGGCATTTTAGTGCTATAAATTTCCCCCTAAGCACTGTTTTGGCTGCATCCACAAATTTGGTATGTTGTGCTTTCATGTTCATTCAGTTTAGAATATTCTCTCATTTCCCTTTTACTTCTTCTTTGATAACATGTTATTCAAAAGTGTATCCTTTTGTTTCCAACTATCTGGGGATTTTCCAGACATCATTTTGTTATTATCAATATAATTCCAATAAGAACACATTTTGTATGACTTGACCTATTTTAAATTTACTGAGACAATTTATAGCCCAGGATATGATGCATCTTGGTAAGTGTTCCCTTTGCATTTGAAAAGAATGTGTTTTTACACAAAGAATGTGTACTCTGCTGTTTTGGGATGGAGTGTTCTATAAATGTCAGTTAACTCAGATTGTTTTATAATGCCGTTCAGTCTTCTACATACTTAGTGATGTTCTGCCTACTTGTCTTACCAGTTATTGAAAGAGGAGTGTTGAAACTTGAAACTATAGCTGTGGACTTCTCTCTCCATCCTTACTATTTTATGAGTTTTTGTGTCATGTATTTTAAAGCTCTCCTATTGGGTGAATAAACATTTAGGATTGTTATATTATCTCATTTAAAAATGCTTTGAAGATGTTTCTCCACTATCTTTTGGCTTACATAATTTTTCAATGGGAAATCTGCTGTCAAATTTATCTTCCTTTGTATCGAATATTTCCCTTTTCTTCTGGTTGTTTTTAAGATCTTTTCTTTATTACTGATTTTATGCAATTGGAATATGATACACTTTGGTGTAGTTTCCTTCATGTTTCTTGTGCCTGGGGTTCACTGAGATTTTTGGATCCATAGGTTCATAGTTTTCATCATATTTGGAAAAATACAACCATTATTTCTTCAAATACTCTTTCTGTCCCCTTCTTCCTTTAGAGTCTCTAATACATATGTAGTAGGCCACTTGAGGTTTTCCCATAGCTGACTGATGCTCTGTTTATCTTTTCTCAGTCTTTTACATTTTTGTGTATAATTTTGGATAGTTTCTGTTGCTGTATATTAAGTTCTTGAATTTTTTTCAGTGTCTTAACTGCCATGAATCCCATCCAGTCTACATTTTCATCATAGACATTGCAGTTTTCATCTCTAAAAGTTCAACACGGATCTTTGAGAATATTTTTCATGCTTCTACTTCACACATTCACTCTTTCCTCTATTTGACCATATAGTGTAGTTATACTAACTTTACTGTCCTTGTGTACTAATCCTGTCATCTGTCTTTTCTGGTTAGGTTTCAGATGATTGATTCACAGTATAAATTGTGTTTTCCTGCTTCTTTCATGCTTGGTAATTTTAAAAATTTTATTGAAATATAGTTGAAATATAGTGCTATATTAGTTTCAGGTGTATAACACAGTGATCCTACAATTCTATATGTTATTCTGTGCTCACCACGATAACTGTAGTTATTATCTGTCAGCTTGGTAGTTTTTTATTGCAGGCCAGAAGTTGTGAATTTTACTTTGTTTAGTGTTGGATATTTTGTGATCCTATAAATATGCTTGAACTTGTTTTGGGACCTGGTTAAATTACCTGGAAACAGTTTGATGTTTTCATGTGTTGTATTTAAGCTTTGTGATGCAGGACCATAGCATCATTTGGTCTAGGGCTATTTTTTTTTCCCTTTTTACCTCTTACTGAGGCAGAACCCTTCTGCATACTGTACCAGATGCTCCATGAATTATGAGTTTTTTTGCTCAGGTTGGTGGGAACAGGCACCATTCTTGGCCTTGTGTGAGCTCCAGGGATATTTTCTCTTGAGGCCATGTACATATACTCGTGTACATGTATATCCTCATGAACATACTCTTCAGTACTCAGCTAAATACTCAAGATCTTTGGAGTTCTCTCTCTGTGTAGCTTTCTCATCTTTGGTGCTCTCCTCTGAAAACTCCAGCCACTTTGCCCTCCTTAGACTTCTAGCTCCTTCTTTCAACTTGAGGAGGCCTCCATGCTCCATCTGAGTTCTCTCCTACTGCATGGTGGCATGGAAGCTTTCTCCGAGAGTAAGCTGGAGGCAACCTTGGGTTCCATGTCATTTGTCTCTCATCTCTCAGGGATTACTGTCCTTTGTTGCCTGTTGTCCAATGTCTTGTCAACCATTGTTCCATGTAGTTTGCCCAGATTTTTCGTGGGCAAGTAAATCCAGTCCTTATCACTGTTTTGATAGAAGGTGCCCAAAGTATTAAATTTGCTATTGTATATGTGGTCATCTACTCCATTATATCTTCTAACTGGTTTTTGTTTGCTTATAAGAAGTTCATTGCTTTCTGTTTATTGATTTTATAACTTGCCACATTACTAAAGTATCTTATAGTTTGTAATAGTTTAACCTTGAGTCCGTTAAGTTTTCCAGATACCATATCATCTACAAAGAGAGATAGTTTTTCTACTTCCTTTATAATTTGTATGCTTTCTATTTTCTCCTTTCTGAAAGCATTGGCTAATATTTCAATATAACCTTAAATAATATTAGAAATGGTAGGCATGAGTTTGAAGACTAATGTTCTAGTGATTCAATCTTTTTGAGATGCCTTCTTAAAGCCCTCAGTCCTCCTGTTCTGGAATGGCCTAGTGGCTATTCCTATGCCTCCTGCACAGCTCTTATCTTGGAATCTCCAGTCCCCTTTTCTGGTTCCCATTCTTACTTTTCTTTGTTTAACTTTTATCTTGGTAAAACAGAAAGGTTACATTGAAAGGTAGCTCTTGGTGATGTCACAAATTCAACAGATTGGCTGGATCTAGAATTTTAAGTTGGACATCATTTTCCTTAAGAATTTTGAAGGCACCACTCCTTGTCTTCTAGCCTCTAATGCTGCCTGTATACATCTCATGCTGATCTCATTCAAATGGTTCTCATATAACTTGCTTTTTATTTTCAATTCTTGAAAATCATATGACCTTCTCTTTGTCTCAGAAGACTGCCTACCAGTTCCCTTCGCTTTTCTGAGGCCCGGAGGCGCTAACATTTTAATTAAAAAATTCTGTTGATGTATGTTTCTATTCTGTTCTGTTAGAGTAAGTTATCACATTAATTTTTTTACAGAGAAAACAACATGATCATTAAGTCATCAATATGAACAGGCCCGAACTAACTGCTCTGCTTCCCATGCTCTCCTGTATGGATGCTATTTAGAGTCTTTGTGGGCTTTGTCTTCAGCCATGATTCTATCAGCCAGGACCAAATCCAAAAATATACAGGTCTTAAAGAATCAAGGGCAAATTTTGAGAAATATAAGGATTATATATTCCACATCCCCAGATGTGATTTTTATAATTTTCTGCCTCAATAATTCTTTCATTCCTTGTTTCTGTGAATCTATGGTTTCATGCCTTTAAGATTATGTTTTTAGGTCTAATTGGTTTTAATATCCTGAATAGTGACAATATACACTAATACAATAATTAGGTTACAGGTGCTCTTCTAAGTGTTTTATATGTATAAACTCATTTACGTTTGTTCTCCTCATAACAAATCTACGAGGTGAGTACAATTATTATTCCTATCTTACAGATGAGGAAATTTAAATTCTCTACAGAGAATTTAAGGAAGTCACTAAAGTCACACAGCTTGAAAATGGCAGAGTTAGAAGTTGAATCCAGGCCATTTGGCCCTGGTGCCTGTAATTTTACTCACTCTGCTTTCCGGTCTATTTTGTGGCCTTTGAAAATGTAAGATTCTAACTCTCTTGCTAGGAGCCCTGGGATTATATTTCACTCTGCTCCCGTGCTGTGATTTCTCACTATCCCCACCTTCTATCCTCAACTTTAACACAAAGGCTGACAAAGGGGGAGCCTTGGGCTGAGAGCCTGGAGCTTGTGATCTGTCTTTAGAACAACCAGGCTGGGTTTTCAGGAATCCGGACTTACCATGTACAAACATCCTGGTGCCTGGTCCAGACTTAAACTCCACGTCAGGGGTCCCTTTCTGGAACTTCACACAGTAGTAGGTACCAGCATCTGCTGGGGTGATGTTACTGATGCGGATGGAAAAGTCCGTGCTGTTTCTCTTTGTGGTGTCTGCAACATTTGTCACTCGGGGGTAGGAGCCTCCTCTGAAACCGAAGATTAACTGCCGGGCTGGCCCTGTTCCCCTGAACCACTCAACCGGCCCACTGGGGAGCAGGGAGGTCAGGGTGCAGCGCAGAGTGGCTGTCTGTCCTGCTGCGACAGCCATTGACTTCTCAGGCTGGATCACCTGCAGCTCCGGCTCACCTGCCACACCTGGAGGGAAACACAAGTCAGCTCCACGTGTCCCTTGCCTGGCCCAGGGGACTTCTCTTATGGCTTTGTTGTGAGACTGAAACTGGAAGCCATTGAAAAACACTCAGGATTGTGCCTGAAGGGCCTGGAATGTGTGGACCTGGAGTCAGGCTGATGTGGGCTCAAGGCCCAACTCCAGCTCCCACAAGCCTGCTGCTGTTTGGGGGAAGCCCCTCCCTCCCTCTTCTGCTTTCCGTGGTTTCCTCTGTCAAGCAGGATGGATCAAGCCTTTCCCCATCAGTGCTGTGAATTTTCAAGGAAGACATTGGTTGTCAAGGACATGCAGTGAGTGCTGTAATGGCCAGAATCAGGAGGACCATTTTTTAGGTGTTCGTATTTGCATTCACTAAATCCTAGCAAGATTCGACAGGGAGTTTCCATAGACAAGTCTGTGTACCAGACATCACTCTAAGCACTTAAAGACTTAAGCACTTATTCATCTCTGTTTCCAGACAAGAAAATGGAGGTAGAGAGAAATTCATAATTTGTTCTAAGCCAAATAGTTCATCGGGTATAAACGATGAACTTGGATTTGAACTCTGGCAGATCTGTTTCAAAAAATATCTGTGCTTTTAACCGCTTTCCTGGACAGCCTCTCAACTGAGATGTCAACCCGCTGGGGAGGAGAAGGGGCACTTCACCTGTCTGCGGGGTTTGGGGTCAGCTCTGGGGAAAAGGGAGCAGACAGGCAGGACTACCTCCCAATCAAGAATAAAATAATAATAATAATAATAATAATAATAATAATAAATAATAATAAAGACTATGATTTTAGAATGCTGAGATTTTTGGGAGACTTAATGGTCTACAAAGTACCACTTTCCAGTTTTCTAATCGCTCTGCATGGCATGTGGAGTACTTGTGATCTACCTATCTACCTACCTATCATCATCTCCATCTTAATTAGGGCGGCTCTGACTCCCAGGTTCTAGGGTTTTCAGCAGGAGTCAGACGCTGCACCCCCATCTCCTCCCTCAGGGTGGCCCCAGGTCCTGCAGGTCAAGCCACAGGGGGTCATGGAGGCTTCACAGGGTGACAGGGGTGTGGGAAGTGAGGCAGGGCTCGGAACACCCTGTCACTGAGAAATGCCTGGTGGGGTTAATCCTGTCTGGATCTGAGCGGGAGAGGAAAGGAGCCCTCTGACTAATAAGCCTTATGGGGGCATTTGTTTGGGAGGGCCTTGTTGTAAAAGAAAACATTTAGAGAAATGTCTTCAAGAGGAAGCCACGGGGAAGAAAGAGGGCCTAGAACCGAGATCCATCCGTCCCACTGCCAATGGGGAAAGCCGTACCTCAGCGGCCATACTCAGGTGAGCATCCTTGCACCGTGCTCCCCGAGAGCGGCACTCACCTGTGAGGCCCAGCAGCAGAGGCAGCAGCAGGGATGGCCGAGGCAGGCGGGGTGGGGAGGCAGGTGCGGGCATCGTGGTGGCCTGGAGCCTGCTCTGTCTGAATGTTGCCCCGGAGAGCTCTCGGGGACTCCACTCTCCAATGCGAGGGGAAGCCTGGTGTCCCCCACGGAAGAGGAAGTGACTGTGGGACCGGTGGAACGAGCTGTGGGGTTTTCACAGTTTCCGCTTCTGGTTTGTGAAATAGGAATCAGACCCAGTTACGAAATGACCGAGAGAAGGCTCCCAAGATTCCCCGGAAGGTTGCGGGAGGCCCCCTTAAGGCCGGGGCTGTGTCCCTGGGCCCCCTGACTCCAGGTCAGAGGCCCCGCTGGCCCTTGCTCATCCCGGCGCGCAAAGGTACAGGGTCCGACAGAGTGGAGGGTGTGTTCCGTGTTTGGGAACAGTGCAACACGCTGGGCTCAGGCAACTGCCCAGCTGTCTGGGAGGAAGGCTCCTGGGAATAGGACCGGGGCGGGGGGCTGTTTTCCCCACTCCAGAGGGGTCAGTGGTAAAAATGAGCCACGTCTGACGGGCGCCCCTGGCTTTGAGAGTGCACTTTCAGGGGGAGGGGGCTTCCAGTGAGCCAAGAACTTTGGAGGGGCGGGATGACTCCTGTTTTAGAGGGTGGAGGGGGCCTGCGTGGAGAAGGGACGTTAGCATGTTCATCCTGCAGGGACAACACACCCCACACCTAGGAGGAGGAAGAGGGGTGCCTCTTCTGTTTCTCCGGCTCTGGGGCCAGCTCTGGGCAGAGGGAGTGCTTGCGGAGGAGAAACCACCACATCAAAAATGCACCCCCTCTTCACCTGAACAGCAAGAGCCAGCACACAAGATGGCGTCCAGCGCCTGAGAAGCTGTGGGCTCTTCCCTTCTGTGGGACCCTGCCTTCTGTGACTTAGTTTCCCCACTGTTCCCGGCCCTTGCCTCCATCCCAGCAGCTGACTGTATGTTGGCGATGCGAAGTAGCCGAACCGAAGAGGGAGTCAGAGATGGGTTTAGATTGTCCTGTGGTAGAACATGTTTCCTCTTCCCTTGAGATGCTGTTATTATTCTAGCTTTTTATTTTTTCCTCCCTGAGAGAGCTTAACTCTGGGACCCTTCACAAGGCAGAGTGTTCCCTGTGGTTCCATTATTCCAACCCACTTTCTCCTTTCAGTGGTGACAGATTGTATTTTCCAGAGCTGACTGCAAACAATATCCTTCCTCATGCTCTTTAACACGCCTCCCATTGAGAAGTGGGTAAATATTCCTTCCCCCTGGGCAGGCTTGTGGTAACACATGATGTGACGTCACTTCCAAGGCTAGACCATAAAACTTCCCTGTACTTCGACCTTTGCTCTCTTGGGATGCTCCTTTTTGGAATCTTGCCACCAGGCTCGGAGGAAGCCCAAACTAGCATACACACAGAGACCACACCGTAGGAATACACGTAGGAGTTCTAGCTGAAAGCCCAGTGAAGGGTCCAGCCAGGAGCCAGCATCAAGCATTAGACATGTAAAATGAAGAAGCATCTGGATGGTTCCAGACTCTAGAAGTTGTCACCCCTAGCTGAGGCCCCAGACATCAGACAGAGGAGACAAGCCATTCTTGTGCCCTGTCTCAATTTCTGATCGCAGTATCACTGATCATAATGAAATGGTTGTTGGAGCGCCTAAATGGCTCAGTTGGTTACGCATGTGCCTTTGGCTCCAGTTGTGATCTCAGGGTCCTGGGATCGAGCCCCACTTTGGGCTCCCTGCTCAGCAGAGAGCCTTCTTCTCCCTTTCTCTCTCCCTCTGTCTCTCCCCCGGCTCGTGCTCTCTGTCAAATAAATAAATATTTAAAAAAATAATGAAATGGTTGTTTACTACCCCTAAGTTTTGGGGTGTTTTGTTACACAGCAGGAGTGACTCCAACACTGCCCTTGGCAACCTTGTCCCCCTCCCCACTCATTAGTGTCTACCTCTTTTCCTGGCCTTGGTCCTTGCTGGCAAGGACCATTGAACCTGGCCTTAGGAGACAGGCTTAGGGGCCCAAAGGACCTTGGTTGGAATACTGGACCCACCTGGTCCCTGCATGATCATGGCCAAGTCATCTATGTGCCCATCTATCGTACTGTCTGCTTAGCATCTGCAAACCGTTCTCATCACTCATCTCCCCATCAGGCTCTCCGTCTGTGTCCCCATTTCAGCGTCTGACACCCCCAGTGAGCCACTTAGTCCAGCCGGAGACATTGGTGTCATTTTTGATGACCCCCCCTTCTCCCCCTGACATCCTTTCATCTAAACACATCTTTTTTTTTTTTTTTAAGATTTTATTTATTTATTTGACAGAGAGAGACACAGCAAGAGAGGGAACACAGCAGGGGGAGTGGGAGAGGGAGAAGCAGGCTTCCCGCGGAGCAGGGAGCCTGATGCGGAGCTTGATCCCAGGACCCTGGGATCATGACCTGAGCCAAAGGCAGACGCTTAACGACCGAGCCATCCAGGCACCCCTCATCTAAATACATCTTAAATCCACCTGTGTCTGTCTCTCCACTGTCACATCTGCTTGGCTAGCCTGTCAGTTCGCCTCCCCCTCTTTTCCTCTGTTGCATGCAGTCTTCTCATCATACTGGGGCCAGAGTGCGATTTTTTTTTTAATTTTTTTATTGTTATGTTAATCACCATATATTACATCATTAGTTTTTGATGTAGTGTTCCATGATTCATTGTTTGTTCATAACACCCAGTGCACCATGCAAAACGTGCCCTCCTCAATACCCATCACCAGGCTAACCCATCCCCCCACCCCCCTACCCTCTAGAACCCTCAGTTTGTTTTTCAGAGTCCATCATCTCTCATGGTTCGTCTCCCCCTCTGACATACTCCCCTTTTCTTCCTCTCCTGTTATCTTCTTCTTTTCCTTTTTTCTTAAAATATGTTGCGTTATTTGTTTCAGAAGTACAGATCTGTGATTCAACAGTCTTGCACAATTCACAGCGCTCACCGTAGCACATTTTTAAAAGAGACTTCTGATCTTGTCATTCTCTTTAAATGGCTTCTTAGGGCTCTTATGGTCATATGGGATTTTCCTCATGTGCCTGACTGATCTAACTGCTCTGTCAGACTCACCTTCTAGCTCTTCCCTCATGTTTGGGCTCAGCTGCACTGGCTTTTCACCGTGACTCAGGCCCCATACTCCTCCCTCTGTTCTGTGTACTGGGGATGTCCACCCACTTCTCCTCTTCATTATAGATAAACCCAGGGCACCCTTAATTACCTCTCAGAATTTGTAATCATGTATTCATTTTCACTGTTTGTCTTGCCCACTAGAGCATATGCCTCAGAGAGAGTGGGGGTTGAGTCTGCTCTGTCTCCTGTAGAGAATACCCAACAGGTGTTTTTAACCTCAGGAGGGAATGGTGGATTCATGGTAAGTATGTGTGCTGTGACCCCAGGTGTCGGCCTCTGGTCTGGTTCTTCCCAGAAACACTAGAGCCACAGGATCCTGACGTCGCTTCTCTGGTATCTTAGAGCTGCTTTCTCCTCCCTTTGTTCCTTCTTGGGCTCCTCCATCCCTGGAACCCCTTGGAGCCTGACACTCACTGTCAGTGATGGCTTCACAGCTACTTCATTCTTGACCCCCTTTGGTCAGGGCTGGGCTCTCCTCTTAGTGCTGGAAGCTCCCCTGCGTGGATGTTATCAGGGAACAAAAAGACAGACTTCTTGGGTCTCTACTTTGGTGCCTAGTTCTCCTGGTAGGTATCACAGAAAGGAAAGGGGGTAAGCCTTGTGTCTGTGGGGTGGGATAAATCTTGGGGTATTAACACAGAAGACCCCACCAAAAATTTCCACGCAACATATATACAGAACATTCCCTCAAGCCCCCCTGAGGATTAGCCCGTGAGACTCAGGCACCATTAGTAAGGGCGAAGGTGGCACAGGTGAGAACAAAGAGGTGGTTGAGTTCCTGGGTGGGTTTTTTAAGCTCAAAGCCAAGGCAGTAGAATGTAGAGGTAAGGCTGTTGAATGTGATAAACAAGTGACTTGTGGAGAACAGTTTTTGATTTCCACCCATTTTATATTGAAAAAAGTAACCAAAGTTCTTTGAAAAATTTTTTTTTATTTTTAAAGATTTTGTTTATTTATTTGACAGAGAGACACAGCGAGAAAGGGAACACAAGCAAGGGCAGAGGGAGAGGGAGAAGCAGGGAGCCTGATGCGGGGCTCGATCCCAGGACCCTGGGATCATGACCTGAGCCAAAGGCAGATGCTTAACGACTGAGCCACCGAGGTGCCCCGGGAGCCATTTTAGAAACTGTCCACCACATACGTCAAAATTCCTGGAATGATTCTTGATCTTCTTTTCCCTCATACCTCATGTCCCAGTCACACTCCACATCTTATCTCTATGTTCACAACAGACCCGGAATCCAGTCACTCCCCACCACCTCCAAGGTACCACCTTGGTCCATGTCAGTGTCTACTCACCTGGATTATTGCTATAGTCTCCTAACTCTGGTCTCCCTGCTCCCTCCCGTGCACACCTCAGCCTCTTCCCCTCAGAGCAGTGAGGGATCCCATTACTCTTCAAACCTGTCAGTGCCTGCTGATCTCAAGGAAAGCCAAGGGGAGTCCATGATGCCCTACCAGCCCCTGTCCAAGCTGCCCGCCCCCATCTCCAGTCATGTTCCCATTACACACTAGGCTGTTGCCAGGGTGGACCCTTGACCTTCACAGTTCCGCTCAGGAACTCTGCCTTTGCTCTCCTCTCTTCATGTAACACTCTTCTCCAGGTAGCTTCATAACCACTCCTTCACTTCTTTCAAATATCTCCCCAACATCATGTTATTTTTTTTATTTTTATTTTATTTTATTTATTTTTTTAAATAATTTTTTATTGTTGTGTTAATCACCATACATTACATCATTAGTTTTTGATGTAGTGTTCCATGATTCATTGTTTGTGCATAACACCCAGTGCTCCACGCAGAATGTGCCCTCTTTAATACCCATCAACAGGCTAACCCATCCCCCCACCCCCCTCCCCTCTAGAACCCTCAGTTTGTTTTTCAGAGTCCATCGTCTCATAGTTCGTCTCCCCGTCCGACTTACTCCCCTTCATTCTTCCCCTCCTGCTATCTTCTTCTTCTTCTTTTTTTCTTAACATATATTGCATTATTTGTTTCAGAAG